AGATTTTAAGGTCGGGGCTAATATAAATTGGGACGAATTGACAGGAATGCTGCCCCACCCAACAAACGGCTGTTAGATGGATTAAGGCCTTAAAGCAGGGTCGGGGAGCGGCCACCTAAGATCCTAGAACTCATCGGTACTTGCTGACATCCCAGGCCCCACCAAAGGGAACCAGGTCCGAGCATCACATCACTGTTGCTCAAGCCGTTAGATCCGACTCCCAGCAACCAGGACAGAACAATAGACGGACACTCGCCCGGTCCGGCACGGTCCTCACAATGGTGCTTCTGTTCCAGCCACTGTTGCAGCCACCGTGTCAACCCACCTTGTTGGGGGTCTCCCGTTGCTCGTTGCTCGCTGCTCCTCTCCTTGACCAGGCAGGAGGTCCTTCTCCAGGGACTGGTCTCTCCTGACAGCACGGCCAAAGTAGGTGAGAGAAGTCTTGCCGTCCTCGCCTCTAAGGAGCACGCTGGCCGGACTTCTTCCGGGACAGATGTCTGTTCTTTTAGCGTCCATGCCCCTTGCAACACTCCTTGCCAGCGCCACAATGGAAATGCATCCATTCTTCTTTTTCTTTGGCCTTTCTCATTCAATGTCAAACTGTCCCATGCATGTGAGGCCACGGACAATACCATGGCTTGAGTCTTGTGCACATTGGTCCTCAAAGTAACACGCTGGCTTTCCAACACTTTAACGAGGTCTTGTGCAGATTGAGCCAAGGCGCTGTGTCATTTGATCTCTTGAGTGCTGCTTTCATGAGAACGGACTGTGGATTCAAGCAAGAGGAACTCCTTGACAACTCACTCTTTTCTCAGGATGCGACCTATTGGTCCCGTTGTAAGTATTTGAGCTTTCTTTACATGAAGTTGCAATCCACACTGAAGGCTTCAAACCTGGATCTTCATCAGCAAGTGCTTCTCCTCCCCCGTCATCTGTTCCCGTGTGCGCCGATCAGATATGTCCCTCTCCCAGAGCAGCAGATCCAGTGCCGTCCTCAAAGAACATTTCAAAGGATCATGACTGATGTCTCTTGGAGTACACTGAGGAGCCTCTCTTTAGAGACGAAGCCACCACCTTCCACAGTGTGCAGCCCTGCACGGAAGGCCCGGGAGACACACCAGCTCCACACCTGGGTACCTGTGCTTAACCCAAGTGTCTGTAATTAAGTACGATGAACCGTTAGTGACCGTGGGGCCTCCATGGCCCGAGTCTCAGAACAAACATTCTCTGGATGTTCGAATTAGACGAAGGGAAAGACTATGGTGGCGTGGGCTGGGCTGAGAGCACAACACCTCTGGGGCAGAGAGGAGAAACTGGAAACAGCCGCTGGCTCTGGGAGAAAGCTGGCCGGCCAGTGATGGCCTGGGAGACTGTTCACTAGAGACCCCTGGCGTGGTCTCACTTTTCTACCACACACGTTATTGCGCACTAAGGGGGAATTCAAAGACAAGTGGCCAGTTGACAGGCGAGTCAACGCCCCGCTGGCACAGCCCCACACCCATCGGGGTGCTCCTCTTCCTGCACCCGGACACCTCCCTGTCT